GGTGTGCGCCACCACACCTGGCCTTCTAACTCCTATTCTTATCATGCTATTGCCAATGGGGAATTGGGACGCAGACTGCTCTGGCTTCTTCCATGCTGAACTGGGACGCAGGGGGAGGCAATTGGAGTACCCCTTCAGTGGGTCTATCTAAAAGACTCCCAAACTGCATAACTCTTGTCTCTAAGGGGAAAAGAAAGTCCTTGAATCACGAATAGGAGATATGAAGGAGAAGTAAAGGCAAGGGTAATTAGCATTACAAGTTCTAGACAGGGAACTAGAAAAAAGTCAGAACAGGGTAATTTTCAAATGTTCATATGAAAGTCCATTGAAGTTTCTTGCTTGACAAGGGCTTCCAAAAGCATCTCTCTATTGGGTTCTTCCTCATTTTTCTTTTGTCTTCCAAGGCTGGACTAGTTGGCTGGGCAGAGTGGCTGGATACTCAGGTGAGGGGCCAGTGACCTTGCTTGGCCCTCCTTTAATGAATGAGCACAACCGTCAACAAGCCCAATTGTGACTATGTTTAGCGATCAGGCTCAGCTGAAGTTGTGATGATGGTAGTTATTTCATGCAGAGGGACTGCTGTATAGCATCTTATTAAAAGGACCTGGAATTTAAAAGGATTTGGTGCTAGGAGCCACAATATGAGGGAGAACATACGTCTTTTGTTTTTCTGAGTCTATGTTACTTCACTTAGTAGAACAGTTTCGAGATGCATTTACCTGCAAATTTCATCTTTCTTTACTGCTGAATAGAACTCCATTGTGTAAATATACCACATTTTTGTTAGCCACTTGTCAGTTGAGGGACACTTAGGTTGCTTCCATCTCTTAACTATTGTGAAAAGAGCAGCAACAAACATGGTTGTACAAGTGTCTCTACAATAGGATGAGTCCTTTGGATATATGCCAAGGAGTGGTATAACTGGGTCATATGGTAGGTTCATTTTGAGTTTTTTAAGAGTTCTCCACACTGTTTTCCACAGAGGCTGCACGAGTTTGCAATCCCACCAGCAGTGACTGAGCATTCCCCTTTCTCCACATCCTCACCAGCATTTGGTATCATTTGTTCTCTTCGTCCTAGCCAGTCTGATTGGGGTGAGGTGATACCTTAGTGATGGAGAAAGTGCATCCTGAAGAACCTGTGCATGCGAGCCGCAAACACGCCAAAAACATCTTTTCTTAGCCATCTTTATTTCTTCCTTTGAGAACTCTCTGTTTAGATCTTTAGCCGAAGAAAGTATTGGGTCATTTGGTTTCTCGACTCTTTGAGTTCTTTATATATTCTGGATGTTAAACCTCTGTCAGATGTGTCACTGGTGAAGATTTTTTCTCATTCTGTGGGTTTTCTCTTCACTTTTTTGATTGCTTCTTTTGCTGTACAGAAGCCTTTTAGTTTAATGAAGTCCCACTTATTGATTGCTGACCTTAATTCCTGATTTAGAAAATCCTTTCCTATACCTATATCCTGTAAGTTACTGCCAATACTTTCTTCCAATAGTTTCATGGTTTCCAGTTTCACATTGAGGTCTTTGAACCATTTGGAGTTGACTTTTGTGCAAGGCCAAAGACAAGGATCTAGTTTCATTCCTCTGCAGGTGGAGACCCAGTTTTGCCAGCACCATTTGTGGGAAATAATTTTTTAACCCATGTGTAGTAGGCAAAATAACAGCCTTGAAGAGATGTCTGAGCCTAATCCCTGAGACTTGGGATAAATCCTGCCATGTGATGAAGGACAGTTAAGATTGTAGATAGGGGCTGGAGAGATGGCTCAGCAGTTAAGAGCACTGACTGCTCTTGCAGAGGACCCGGGTTCAATTCCCAGCACCCACATGGCAGCTGTGAACTGTCCTTAACTCCAGTTCCAGGGGAATCTGAAGCCCTCTTCTGACCTCCACGGCATTGCATGACACGGGTGCACTCACATACATGCAGGCAATACACTCATACACATAAAATAAAATAAAATAAAGTAAATATTAAAAAAAAGGAAATTCTCTGGAAAAAAAAAAAGATTGTATTTAATCCCAGCACTCGGGAGGCAGAGGCAGGTGGATCTCTGTGAGTTCAAGGCCAGCCTGGTCTACATAGTGAGTTCCAGGACAGCTGGGGCTACAGGGAGACCCTGCCTCAAAAAGACCAAAAGAAAAGACTGTAGATGGAGTTAAGGTGACTCAGCTGACCTTCCAGTAGGGTGGCAATCCTGTTACTGGAGTTGTCAGGGTCAGAATCTGAGCCCTGGAAGCCCTAACAAGCCAGGCTTGGTCACCTGTCCTCAGTAGGCCAATTCAACAAACAAGTAATAGTAAAAAGTAGACAAAGGAGATTTATTTAATGTGGTCACATTGATAACCCTATTGATATAGCACTTACCTTGGATCAGATATTAGAAATAATTAGGGATGGCTTAAAGTATATAGGGAAGGAGCTGGAGAGATTAAGAGCACTGGCTGCTCTTACAGAGGACCCAGGTTCAGTTCCCAGTACCCACATGGTAGCTAACAACGCTCTGTAACTCCAGCTTTAGGGGATCCAACACCCTCTTCTGGCCTCCACAGGCATTGCATGCACAGTTGTACTTACATATACACGCATATACAGAATACTCATACACATAAAATAAAAAAAAATAAATGAATTAAAGTGCATGGGGTAGGGAAGTGCATGTAGGTTCTATGAAAATGCATCAACAGATTTTTGGTATCTGAGAGGGAGCCCGATTTAGGGAGCATAGTATAACCCAAAGGATTGCATATCTCCCTACCCCTCACAGGATGCACCTCCAGGTTGGGGCCTCAGCTATACCTGTAGGGGCCCATTCTACCTTTTCAGTTGGTAGCTTCTAGATGGTATGATGTATGCAGGACCAGCAGACCTTATGACCATGTACCCATTGCCACTCTGCCCTTGCTGTGACTTGGATTTCTTCATCTGAGAGCCCATGGCAGTGAACCATTCACTCTGACAGACCTGAGACCACGCTGATGACCTAAGCCTCCACTGGAAGGAATATGTGTGGATCCTGGTTAGAATGACTCTCAGATCTTCTCATGGGATGTTATTGGGTCAGGGGTTCTTCTCTGGTCTCTGGCGATGAAGGTTGGACTTGGAACCGTAGAAGTGGCTAAATCAGCCTTAGTGAGAGGGAGCCCAGGCTTTTGGGGTCAGATTTTGGTTCATTACTATCACCATGATACTGTGTTCATGAGTCCATAATGTGCAAATGCCACATGGAGGCAAGAAGCAAAGACAGAGACTGGTTTATACCATTGGCTGAGTTGACTTGTTCACTGGCTGCTTTAATGGGTCTTCTTCAATGGCTGTCCTGTGGTGCACGCTAAAATGTGATGTGCGGATCTTTGCATGCTGTGCCCACTCCCGTACCTCACATACCTCCCTACTGTTGTCTCTCAGAGCCCAGTCTTGCTCTTCCAGGCCTCCAATAGCTAAGCCATTCACCAGTGCTCTTAAGCACCAGGGTATCCTTATCAGGTCACGTCTCTTATGTGAATGAGCAGGTGCACTGCCCACAACTTGGGCTCTTGGAGGGTTTCCTCACACCACCATCCTCCTAGGCCCTCGTTGGGCTGGGATTCAGGTGCAGTCCATTTTTGGTTGGCACCCATACACCAAGTAGCCAACATGTGAACCAAGCCAGTACCTTCACTGGGTCCAGGCATTAGCCAAGCAGGTTTCCCACAGGGAATTCTAATTGGTTAAGGCAAGCAGGCAAAAGCGGCAGGAGGTTAAGCTGTGATGATGAGGGTCACTGTGGTATATCTGAACAGCCCCTGTGGGTTGTGTCAGCAGGTGGTCCCTGGGTGAAGTGGTCACTGGGAGATGATTGTATAAGGCAGATATTTGAGAACCTAGGAGGGCGTGAAGAACTGGAAATGGTTCCAAGGGGGTCTGAGCTTGCTTCTGTGATGAAAATTGAACTAACATTCTAAATGTTGCTGAGGCAACATGAAATGGTTAAGAGCTCACTGTATAGGCATGTGTGCTGTCCATGTTTTACCAGGGGTAGGAACTTAGGAGAGGTCAGAGTAGGCAGAGGAGAGGGGAGGAGGCACAGCCCTGGTGACCCTCCAGGGAAGTCTGGGCTATTAATCCTGCTCTGCAGAGGGGCCGCCTTACCCTTCTTTTCAGCAGTCAGTCACTGGCTGTGGGCTGCTGGGCAAGGGTGGGAGAAGGAAGGCAGTGACCTTCCGGGTACTTCCTGTCTGCTAAAGGTGACTGTACCGAATGGGGGACTTGGCAGGCTTCCAGCAGGAGGATGGGAGGGTCTCACTCTAGGAACTAAGAGGAAGACCAGATATGGGGATGACGGTCACAGGGGAAGCTGAGCCCTGGCTGCCTGGAACAAGGCCTCCATTGGGCTTTTAGGTGATCTATTTCTCTCTCTCTTAAAAATTTATTTTTACTTTATGTGTATGAGTGTTATGCTGGCATGTGTGTAAGTGCACCTGTGTTGTGCAGTGCCCACGGAGGACCGAAGAGGACACTGGATCCCCTGGAATTCAAACCTGGGTCTTCTGCAAACACAATCAGTGCTCTTTTAAAAAATTTTTTTTTAATTTTTATTTTTTATGTATTTGAGAGTGTGATGTCTGCATGTAGGTGCGTGCACCCGTGCTGTGCAGTGCCTGCAGGTCAGAAGAGGGCATTGGCTCCTCAGGAACTGGAGTTATGGAGGGTTGTTAGCCACCATGTGGGTGCTGGGATTTGAACCTGGGTCTTTTGCAAGAACCAGTACTCTTAACTGCTGAGTCATCTCTCCAGCCCCCCCCCAAAGAAATATTTTTATTTTAAATTATTTGTGTGCAGATACATGCCCGTGATTGACAGTCCCCGAGGTCAGAGGTGTCAAATCCCCTTATACACATGCAGGCAAAACACTCATACATGTAAAATAAAAGACAATTCTAAAAAACAAAACAAAAAACCCCAAAGCCAGTTCCCTCAGACCACTCCTTAACATCCACAAAACAGCTAACTCACCAGAACCTTCGTTTTTGTCAATTTATTTAGAAAAAAATTAACATGAGCAAATGCGATACCTCAGTGTTACAGAGTGTAGAAATGTCTAGCAATAGTCAAATAATTTGATCTTTAAATACAAAATAACCACATGAACACCTAATATACAGGTTTCATCTGAATACATATTTATTAGATAAATATTAGAGGTCACATCATCTAACTACATACAGCTTTGCAAGACTAGAAATCACAATTAGTTTTCTGACCAGTTTAAAGTATGAAATGATGGCATCGTACATACGATGTACAAAGACGATGGCGGTTTCCGTGGGAGTCACTTCAGGCTGCACATGTGGGTGTCGATGTGTGTACGTGTGAATCACCTGCGATCATATCAAAAATTATACAAAGTATGAATTTGGTTACAATTTTCTTCTGAAATCCCCGTTTCTCTTCATTATTTCCATAGCACCCTAAAAATACACAGGTGGCCGGACTAGTACACTGAAGCTAAACAGTACGTGTAGGTAAAATAAAACAAAACAGAACAAAAATGCCTTTCCACACAGGCTCAGAGTATATTACATGAGACAAAGGTGGACTCACAAATGCTAACAAACAGGATCTAATTTTCCCACATAAGATGGAGGAGTTCCAAGCCTTTTGTTTTGTTTCATAAAATAAAAACAATACACATTCCGAGAGAAATGAATGCATCTGTTGACATGTCTATTTCTCATTTACATATGTACACGTCCCTGGAGTTACTACTGCTCACACTGCCATGTCTGGATGGGTCAGGCCTGAGGCCCTTCAGGAGCAGACCTGTAGCTCTCTTTGGGGGTAGGGGTGGGGGTGGGGTTGGTTAGGGCTTTCAATAGGGAGAAAGTACTAGGAATTTCTTTAAAAATAAAATGGCTATAGGGAACATGAGACACGGATAAAGCTTCAAACCAAGAAGATGGGGGTGATCGCCTGTGCAGGGTCCTTCCCATCTGCCCATGGGCTCCTAGCCCATCTTGCCGAGCGGTGGCAGACATATGCCTATGGGTAGGTTGCCTGTGATAGGAAAATGGCGTGCTGAGGCCTCATTTTCTGAGGTTACTTATGGCTCCAAGTTGTCTGGAAGGATCTTTCTAGAGCTCAGACCTGTCTCTGTTTAAGGATGTCATCTTTACCTGCATCTGTCACTACCGAGGCTTGACTCCAGCCCCAGATCTTTGTCCCCCTCACACCATGGATGAGCTCCGTTTCCCAAGGGGACATTCCCAGAGCATGGGCTTTAGGCTCTGTGGTGAACTTGCTGGTGGGTGCTTGCTTGGAAAGGAGCTAGGAAATTGGTCTCAGGCAAGAGCGGAGATGGCAGGGGAGGTGCCCAGAGCCTAGGCTGCAGGGAGTGTCTAGATCCTTTGCACTGAAAAGCAGGCAGAACCTGGGCATGCTATAACAAGAACTAGCAGGGGCCCCAGGCTATTCTGGGGGCACAGTATCCCGGCAGGAGGCAGGAACTTCTAAAGAAAGGCATCTGTCAGTCTGAGGCTCAGCATTTCGGATGGTCTGACACACAGCATGGCCGCAGGCTGGGAAGGGACAGCCACATGCTAGTCTTGTCCCTACCAGCTGACTGAGTGGCTCTCCACAGTGGGCTGCCTGGTCTCCCAACTCCCAGCATAGCTACCTATTCTGTCCATCCCTCATCTGTACAAATAGCCCTGGTTGCTTTTTTTGTTTTTGTTGTTTTTTAAAAAAAGGACTCGGGTTTTGTCATTGAGTCAAGGTATTTTAAAAACACCAGCAAAGGCTATAACCAGGTCATGAAAATGTTGAATATTATCAAAGACAATACTAAAATATTCACAAAGATATTTACAAAAGCGATTCTTAAAATAATTGATTTGCATACGGAACACACTGTTTGAAAAACCTCGACAACTAGACAAAAGAAAGGGGTGAGGAAGTGATGGCAGCTTTCCTACAGAAAACCTTGTGCCATCTGTCGGGGTGACAGTAAGTCAACAGCTGGGGTCACCTTTCTGGTACAATCTATATCAGAGAGGGAGGACAGAGGGATATGGATGACTGAGGACACTGACAGTGGACAGGAGGCAGGAGAGGGCCCTGGGTGGCAGCAGCAAGGAAGGGAGCAAAGAATTTACAGATGGGACCCACATGACCAGACAACCCAGTGTCACCACAGGCCATGAGGCTCAGGGGACACAGACCAGCCTGGAACAAAGCAGACAAAAAGCACAATAAGCCAATGAGGGTGGGGTCTATGAGTGTGTGTGGGAAGGACAACTAAGCTGGACGGAGTGAAACAGTTGAGGAAGACCAGAGGCTGCTCTTGCTGAGTGAGCCGGAGTGTGGAGCAAGCTCTGGGTGGAAGGAGGGATATGGGGAACACGCAGTTGCACAAACACCATGAGCTGCCTGCCAAGACATCCTGGTGCATGCAGCAATGGTCTGGGCTGGAAGGCAGCCTTGAGTGGAGAACTCCTGGACCAGATTGAGGCTTGAAGAGGCATGGATGTGCTGGATGGCTGCAGAGCCCAGCTTCTGTCCAAGTGCCCATGCTACCCAGCCTCTCCACTGTGCACCCCTAGAGCTGGTTGGACAAAGGAGAATTCGGACCCATAGGGAAGTGGTGTCCCATGGAACAGTCTTGAAGAGGGAGGGTCAGGGCAGGAGGAAGGAAAGGGAACATGGAGGGAAATGATTTGCTTGCTGTCCAAGTGCAACGTTCCTTTCCTCCAGGTGACTTCAGAGCTTTCCACTGTGGTCATTTAAAAGCAGGGAGTGGCTTGAGGCAAAGGTGCAAGGCCTTGGCTGCTCCTGTTCGACTCTGGCCAGCATCTTCCCACAGTCCCCAACGAAGGGCACACTTTGGTGGGGTACACACGTGTTTACGTGCTTTCTCTGCTCCCACAAGGCTGGGCCCTGGTCTTAGTCCAGGTTGTCAAGCTCTCCTATGCATTGTCCTGGCTCTAGGGAGGCCCCGACCTCTATTTCCCACCAGACCCCAGGTCTCTCAGACACAGCACCTAGTCCATGGCTCTGCTGAGACTGTTAACAGGGTATCTTGGCTTAAAGATCGGAGGCCAAAGCCATGACCCTTGGCCCTGAGGGATGGTCTCCTTCCCAGAGGTTTGTGCTTTTCTGTGGGGGTGGTGGCCTTCCTTACTGCTGCAAACTCTCACCACTCCTCCAAGGCGTGTCCCTTGCCCTGGCCTTGGGGCGGGGGGACACTTCTCTTCAGGCTCTAGTCTCTTGATGGAGGTTCTGGGTGGGGAGGCAGGGCTATGGTTTAGAATTTGGGGGCACTGCACTGGAAGGTCGGTTGTCTGGAGTCTGCACGCACAGAGGGACCTACAGTCGCCATTGGCATGTCTCTTGCTGGGCTAGAATCCCCTCCACTGGGGCTTCTCTTCCAGGGGCCACTTTGGGCCTGCTCTGGGCATGGGCCCCAGGGCATTCAGGCGGACAGGGCTGCAGACCAACATGGCCTTCCCTGCCTAGTACGCCCTGCTCGGCCCCCAGCCTGTGGTCCTGGCGATGGGAGGCCTGAGCACAGGCTCTTGGGAGGAAAAGTGTGTGGGACAGATGGGGTAGGAGGCAGAGTGGGGAGGGATGGCCCCATTGGAGGGTGGCCTTCAGTTGTTCTCAAAGAGAGACAGGAGGTCATCGTTGCTATTGCTTGGAAGGTCGGGGGGATCCAGGTAGGAGAGGAGCTCATCAGGGTTTGTGAGTTCTGGCAGGAGCTAGAAAAGAAGAAGTCCAGGTGAGGTGGCTCAGGGTGGTCCAGGGGAAGGAGTGAAGGCCTGGCTCACTCCTCTCCTACCTGTCTCCTGGGGTTTTAGCTCAAAGACAGAAAACTAACAGTGCCAAGTGTAGGCCTGCCAGCTGTTCCCAAGACCAGCCCAGGCTACTGCACCTCACCTGGGGGAAGTACACTCACACTAAACAAAAGCCAAGGGAAGTGAGATCCTCAAGCCAATCAGTGGACGTCAGAGCTGTGCTGATCCCTCTCAGGTACTGATATCAGCCCTGTGGCAGGTCAAGGGGCTTCCTCTACATTGACTGTTCCTCTGCCCTCTTGGACCCTGACTTGAGCAGCTGTAGGTCACACAGCCTGCCAGCAGAAGCTACCTAGCTTCACACATGAATGCAAGGCAGGAAAGGACTGCATAGTCCCAAGTGTTTACCACCCCAATCTTCCCAAAATCTAGTGAGCCTGTGGCCGGCTGGCAGTGCTGTCCATCCCTGTGGCCCACAATCCCCTACCCTCATATGACATCCTTGGAGTCTGTGTCAGAGAGGCAATGGGGGGCGGTCCTGAATCTAAAAGCATCCCACTGGCCTGGCTGGGGTGAACTGGGTGAGAAACAAAGATATCTACAAACTGAAGATGGCCGCACAATTAGTCCCGTCACAAGATCTCTGATGTTGTGGGGTAGATGGTGACTGTGGAGCCGAGAGTCTAAGACCTAGGGGTGGGAGCCCCTACCTCCTAAAGAGGGGATGGGAGGGGCAAGTGTCTAGCCCCAATCTTTCTGTGACCCATACCTTCTAGATCACTGAGCCTAGAAGGTGAGAGGTCTCTGAATCTCAGCCGTCCACTTCGACCTGTTGTCCCCTAATCGTGCCCTGAAGCTGATTCTCCTGACCCCCCCGCCCACACCATCTTCTGTCACCCCACATGGGGGCCTCTTGGAGTGAGCGATGGAGCAAGCGGAAGCAGGGAATGGAGACACACGGACAGGGAAACTGCAGGCAGACAAGACCAGCAAGACAATGGAGGGGCATCACTCTAGCCCCTCCCCTGCCCAGGCCAGAGGGTAGACACAGAAATAGCAGGCTGGATATGGGGGTGTGAGGGAGGGTGTGGGAAGAAGGGTAGGGACCCTCCTGCACTATCTCCAAAGCCTCGGTCCAAGGGACCCTTCAAGGGGCTGGGAAGAAGGTGGGCAGGACTGGGCAACAGGACTATTGGGCCAAAGAGCTGATAGATGGGAAAGAGGCTCCCATGACATTTCCCGAGTGGAGCTTCCTGATACTAGAGCCATGGGAGAATGGTTGGGGCCCACCCACCACCCACCCACCTTTCCACCCAGGGCCTTGAGCCCTCAGTACCCCCCTTCTCTTGGGCAGGTCCTGGTGCCGGGCCTGGCCCCAGGCCTAGATGTGTGGTGACCCCAACTTACATCCAGTGAAGGTTCCGGCATGTCGGATGCTCCCTGTGCTCCGGCCTGACCCTCTAAGGCTGAGGAGGGGTTAAAGGTCAGGTCGCTGTGTGGATGGTTGCTGGGAGCGGCCTGTGGCGGCTGCCGGGGAGGCTGGGAAGGAGGAGGAGGAGCCCCACTGTGATGTAATGGAGGCCCTGCCTGGCTGCTGGGGTGTGGTACGTGCAAACCTTGTTGTATGGAGGGATGGGGCTGGTCAGAACTGCCAGCGTGTGGCATCTGTGGAGGAGGAGAGAGCAGGAGAAAAGAGAGGTGAGGTGACGAGGCACAACGACGAGATGCCTGGAGAAAATGAAAACTAAACAAACCAGGGAGTAATGGACCCCAGACAAGGGGCCCCCTCACAAAGCACGATGGTTTGGGGCTTGTGGGGGGGCAGGGTAGAAAATCAAACAAAAAAATCATCCTCTCCAGAAACTGCCAACCAGGGAGAGAGGCTGTGAGGGGCAAATAGGGAAGGGGCCTTACTCCACACAGAGCCTGGAAGGGCCTCAAGCCAGGCACAGACCACAGAACCTCCCACCTCCACACTGTCACAACAAACAACAGCGAGGGCAGAATGGAGAAGCAAATGGACGTGTTTCTGGGGAGCGGGAGGCAGGTAGCTGCTGGCAGCGTGGCGCAGGCCCCCACGGGCCAAGGCAGCACAGAGCAGACGCGGACACAGAGCATGGGTAGGTGTGCAGCTCAGGACTGGGACTGCCGCCCCCAAGTGGGCCCTTGGCAGGCAGCAAGAAGGAGACAGGCACTCTGCTTGCCTCCTTCCCCAAGATGGAACTCAGCTGATGTCAAAGAGGCGGACCAGGGAGGGAACCTGGGTGACTGGGGGCATCTCAGAGCACTGCCCAGCCCTTCCTCTCAGCCACACTACCTTGATCAACAACAGGTCTCATGTTTGGGGTGCTGAGGGGCACAGGGATGACTCTTACAGGCCAACTAAGCAATTCATTCCCTTCAACTTGCAATGCATTGAAAACTGGGTGCCTGTGGGTAAGTGGGTATAAGGCTGTTTATGGTATAAACATGGGCCTTGTCAATCTGTTTGCAGCCCCCTTGGAGTAAAGGGCTGGAGGTATTCTGCGGGCTGCAGCCCACTCTGCACGTCTGAACAGGGTCAGCCTGGGGGCCAAAAGCTTCCTTGGTCTCTGGTCACCCTTACTCCTGTCTCATCTCTATTTCTGGGTTCTTCCTTGGTGAAGTGGCATGTGGTAGCCATGCCACCCCTGGTCTCCCAAACCCCAGTTCTTCCTGTTTCTGCTAATAGCTGTTTTTCAAGTCTGCTGTGAACTGGCCTCCGCCCAAGGTCCAGGTGTATCCTTTCTTCCAAAGGTGTATGACCCCACCCCAAAGTGACACTGACACCACACTGCCCTTCCAGCCCAGGCCCCCAGAAGACCCATATGTAGCATGTTATGAATAGAACACACAGCTGTAAGGGAAAGGCCAGCTGGAGGCTCCTGCTTAGTTCATAGCAGTAAACACACAACAGCACCCATCCTGAGGGATTGGGAAGGGATGCTTGACATTCCTGAGTAGGGAGGGGGCTCCACATTCCTGTGACAGACAGTCCCTGGATCTTCTGATACAGCTGACCCCTGACCCTGAGAGGGGCTAGAATCTCTCTGGGCTGGGCAGGTTCTCGGCCTTGCTGGTATACTTGCCAACCTGCTGCCTGGTGTGGGAAGAGTTCTTGGGTGAATCAGCACTTGGCTAGACCCTTTCAGGTCATTCAGATGCACATGGGAATGTTCCTAGCTGCCTGCTAAGCCGGGACCAGACTGCCCAGCCCCACCTGGTTGCTTTGAGAAGAGGTCAGAACTGAGGAGGGATCAGGCACACCTAAGTAGTATCCTGGGGATTCTGAGGTTAGTTCAAGTGCAGGTTCCTCTATATAGAGGTCAGTGGCAGGGCTAAGGAGGCAGCAGGAAGTCTGGTTGGTAAGAAGTAGTCTATGCCCCCACCCTCCTCCAATCCAGGGTTAGGAGCTGGAGAGCTTGAGGTGTGTGGTATGCGTGTGTTTCCTGGCCGTGGAATGCTGAGATCGTGGGGAGTCTGGAGGATAAGCTGTTTGAAGGTGAAAAGAGTTAATGTTTATTCTCTTTTTTCTTTTCTTTTTAAATTATTTTTATTTTTACTGTATGTATATAAGTGCTTTCCCTAAATGTATGTAAGTACATCTGTGTTGTGAAATTCCTTCAGAGGCCAGAAGAGGGTGTTGGATTCCCTGGAATTGGAGTTATGAAAGGTTGTTAGCTGCTGGGTGGGGTGCTAGGAACTGAACCTGGGCCCTCTGCAAGAGCAGCCAAGGATTTTAACCACTGAGCTGTCTCTCTAGCCCCACTTTTTTGTTTTAAGCCAGGGTCTCAAGAATTTCTAGGCTAATCTCAAACTTCTATGTAGTCATGACGACCTTCAACGTTTTCTTGTTTTGTTTTTGAGACAGGATCTCACTACACAGTCTTGGTAGGTCTGGAAGTCTATATGTAGACCTCACTGGCCTTGAACTCTCAGAGATCTACCTGCCTCTACCTGGAACTAAAAGCCTGCACCAACAACCTTGAACTGTAGAGTATTGAGATTACAGGAGTGTACAGACAGGCATATCCAGTTTATGCAGTGCCAAGGCATCAGTGTACATAGCTGCATTCAGACTCAATGATCCATTCTTGTAGAATCAGGGATGTAAGACACCTTCTTTCCAGGCTATGACAGAAAATGAGAGGGGGAGTGTGACTCTTCTGATATATAGGTCCCAGCCCCACTGGCAGACACTGGGGAGACCCCGGACCCTCTTTCTCTGGCTGGTGACACTATCTGTGGCCCCTCCTACAAGGTCAGAGACCAGCGTGGCTGAAGCCTCAGATAAGCCATTTTATTCCTTGGATCTCAGTCTCCCTAAACCCCACTGCTTTTCTTCCAGAAGGTGTGCTTTGTGAGTGCAAGGCTCAGTGTGCCTTGTTTATTCTGACCCAGGAGCATTTTCTAAACAGAGTAAATAGAGGAGGCCCCTTACAACTGTTGCCAGAGCCACAGGAAGGATTGTGACTAACACTGGACATTCTACCCTGAGGAGGTGAGGTGTCCTCAGTCACATGGAACATGCTATATAGCAAAGAGGGCAAGCTCTCAGGGAGGTCAGACTTCTTGAGACTTTCTTTTGCAAGGAATGGTGAGACCCTGAAGATTCAGATTCTGGGGCTAAGTACCTGGGTGTGGGACCAAATTCCAGGGTGCTGGAATCCTGTGAGTCAAAATGAGAATATTTACGTGGGGCTTGGAGGTGTTGTGTGTTCAGGGGCATGCAAGGTGCAGCCTGGAGCTATCTGAGTCTTAAGAGGACCCAGAGCCTTGAATGAAACAACCAAGTTCACAGATGCTGACTGACCATGTCAGGCCTCTCTCTCCCTTCTGAGGCCCCAGACCTAATTCTTAGTTTTCCCCCTTGTCAAGGAGGGAACCAGGGCATCCATATCACAAAGATCCCAAGGGGGAGCCCTCTGCCACAGGCAACCCCTGATAGGGCCTGGGCATGGTGGAGCATGGGCAAGTGGGAAGGTTGAGATATAAGGAGGGAGGTACTCACAGTTTCCTGCATGGGGTGACTGAGGGGTTTCTCAAGGGCAGCCATGTTGTTGGGCATGTCGGGAGGGTGGGAGAGTTGGGGGGGCCCATGCATGAAGTCGTTCATGGACGTCCCTCCAGGGTTCCCATGGGGGAAGTCAAAATTGCCATGGCCCTGGTAGTTGTTACCTGGTAAGGAAAGGAGATGGGGATGGGGGAAGGAGTTACCCAGAGGGAAGATGGCCACCCCCTGGTAACAGAGTATAAAAGTCAAATCCTTTCTCTCCCTTAGGGCAAGCAGGGCTTCTGAACTGTTCCCTTCTGGCTATATGACCATGCCTGCATCTCACGGGCTGGGGCACCTCAGGCATGTGCTGCTCTACTACTAACAGAGGGGAAGAAAGGGGAGAGCCAGAAGGCATGGAAGGAAGCCCAAGCCTGAATGTGTAACAGGATATTCTGGGGTGCTGTCTACTAGGGCTACATTTCCTACCAGGAACCCCAGGTCCAGGGGATGTTCTGCCCTATCTAAGAAGACCAGACTCCAAATGACAGTCCAGCCTCTCTAGTTAGTACCCCATCACATGGTGATGGTGATATTTGAGGGTCAGCATGCTGGGATGCTAGGGTCTGCTGTGGGACTCAAGCTAGTAAGCCGATAGCTCTGACCCATTAATCACCCAGATACCACAGAGACCTAAGATCAGAGATCTGAGTGACAGGGCTGATACCCTCAGACAGAGAGTAGAATATTTTCTAAGAACCAAGTGGCAGGCAGCAGGGTTGACGTTTAATTCTAGGAGAGTTGAGACGGTGAGATCCAGTGATAGTGGCTCTGGCTACCTAGGTGCTCTGGGTGTAAGAGTTGGAAGGACAGGACTGATAATAGATGCCACAGGAAAACACAGGAGGGTGGCACAGCTGTGTAACACGGCAGAACAGGCTCTGAAGGCCTTGGGCTTTGTGCCACTATCCCCCTAAGTCTAGTGACTTGAGGACCATTTTTGGAACGTGTGCCCACTCTGCCTCTTTCTTCTCTTAGGCACCTACCATTAGCACAGAAATACCCAGTCTCTGCTAGACTCAGGCTGTTCTCATTCTCTTCTCCCTCCCTCCCTCCCTCCCTCAAATCTCATCACGTACCTTGGTTGCTGTAGTCATTGGAATTGGTGCCCCCAGGGGGAGGGGGAAGTGGGTAGGGAGATGGGCCAGGGCCTAGAGCAGCAATCATCTCCATGACGTTGGGCATGATCATCTGGCTGGGGCTCATGGTCTTAAACCGCTTTGAGGGAATGCCATCGGGGTCATCCTTGATGTGAAGGTCCGACTTGATGGGCACTGGCCTCCAGCTGCACGTGGGGTCGATGGTGACCTCTTCAAACTCAGAGCTGGTGGGGAGCAATGGAGTAGAGCTGGGGCTTTGGGAGATAAGAGGCCGTGTCTATGACCCTTTTCCCTATCAGGACCGTGCACAGGACAGAGGCCTGGGGGACCAATGGCTGTGAGGCTTCCTCGCAGAGAGAAGTCCCTGCTCTGGCGGAGTTCTGTTTGCTCTGGAACATATTGGCCTAAAGTCTAGAAACTCCCAAAGTCAAGCTGCAAATTGGTGGCTGGTCTCAAGAGTCGTATAGGAAGTATTCAGGGCTGTCTGCATCTTCTCTCCCTCCTCTAAGCCAGACCGCACCCCTCTACTTACTGTTGGATGGCATTCAGGATCCCCCACATGTACTGATCCACCTCCAGGCCCTCAAGCAGAGCGGTTTTACTGGAAGAGAAGAACAGGGCTTGGTTTTTGCTCCTGGAGTCAAGGTGGAAGAGTGTAGCCCACCCATCTCTGCTGCCCGACCCCCCTCCCCCATAACTGGTACAGTGGGGCAGAGAGGGCAATTCCAAGATATCACAACACTCTCCAGAGCTTCCAAGAGCTGTGCCTGTCGGGTTTGTGTTGTTTTGCTTACAGGGTAGGTAAGGTGGCTAGAGCCCCAAGAAGAGGCCTGAAGGTACCTCCCCTCTGCAGGGTGGGCATCACTTACTTGCACACAGGACACCTCCAGGTCCCTCGCTCACAATTCAGCTGGAGGTATGATTCCAGGTCAAAGCACTGCAGAGGTGGAGGACAGACAGACAGGTTAAGATTAGGACTGTCAGAAAATGCCTTCCTATATCCCTGGACACTTAGGAAGACTTCCATCACCGGGGAAGAGCTCTTCTGCTCCCTCAGTGGAACAGACACACTATGTCTAACGCCTCCACACGGCGGCCCTTATATCGCTCTCTGTTCCATCCTGGTCCCCGCACCCTAGCCAGTACTAGTACTGTCCTCGCCTCTGAGTGAAGCCAGGGGCAGCATGGACTCTGGCAGCTCAGGAACCCAGGACACATCTGATCCAGTTTGTGTCAGATAAAGCAATCATACTCTTTGTCTCACCCACACACTCAGAGGAAGGTAGTCCTGGCTGCCACTCAGCCTTCAGGATGAGCTCTGTCTGACAGGAAAGTGGAAGATGGTATCCCTGATCCTTGTGCTCTTTGCACCCCATTTGTGGGAGACATGTCCTAAAAAGCCCCCAAACAAGTCCTGACTGAGACATTTACTCACTCCACAAGCCCCTTCCTAAGCACCTGCTGAGGACAGGTCCCTGGAGAGCCTGGCAGAAGCGTCCCTTTTCTCAGATCACTGACCAGCCTGTGGTTGCTTGGTCAGGACTTTATGCTGGCCTTGACTGTCTATTGCTGAACCCCATGTCAACAGCCCTCTAAGAACCCAGAGATGGGTTCAAAGGAGAGAGGATGACTGAGAACACAGAGGATATGAGCTGCTGACGGCCATGATATCCTTCAGGGACAGACAGGTCCTGCTGGCCTCAGTGCCTGCCCCTCATCGCCCTGCCAACTCACATAGCTCTTCCCTTTCAGAGGAACACTTCCTGGAACCCCCTCACCTGGACGTGCTTGCAGTCATGGCCCCGAGCAGGCAGCTGGATGCGCCGGAACGTGATGGGGCACTTCAGAGACACCTTGATGGCTGTCTGTTCCACACCATCCTCCCCATTGAGAGTTGTGTTGCCCGAGGAGGCAGCCACACTGCTGAAATTCCGCTTGACTGTGGAGTGGGAGGCAGAAGGGTGAGGAGGGCCGGGCGCTCTGTCAAGGGGGTGGGACTGCACAAGCTCCTGGACACACATGTCCTCATTCTCCCCACCCCCCCCTAATTGGGAAGGAACAAAGCGGAGCTCAATCTTTGGGCCTGCAGCCTCCACTTGTGATGCGGGCGGGGTGTGTGTGAATGCGGAAGGACTGAGTTGGATCTCTGCTCAATAGAACTCCACGCTAAGAACAGGGACTTTCTGCAAAGCTTGCAGAAACCCAGTCTGGTGTTTCTCCTCTGATTTAACTGGGTCAGCAAAAAGCCCCCTCAGGCGCTTTTGCACCTCGCTCTCCAAGTGTGGGAATGGAAACTAAAGATGGCACCCCGGTGTTCAAAAGTTCAGAGGAGGAAACACAGGAGGGGAAGTACATCCCAGGAGGAGCTCTAGGACTCAGCACCTGGGGTGTGACCACCTCTTAGGCGAAGCCTCTCCCTCCCAATCTGTCCTCAGCTGACTCACTTTTAGTGATGCAGTGCTCCGCTGGCAGCAGGCGTTTCTTCAGGAGACCCTGCAGCACCGAGCGCACGGAGGGCCGGTGCACCAGCTGCAGCACGAAGAGGTGGGACTGCAAGAGAGCACGGCAGGCTCAGTCCTGCCCACAATCCCTACAACCAATCTATTCACAGCTTCCGTGCATGGCCCAGGCTGCCCAGACCCAAGTGTCCCTGAGATTTCAGTAATGCCTCTCTAGCAGAGGGTACTGCAGGACTTGGGGGAGAGGCCTGAAGTCAGAATGAGGCCCTGGACCTCTGTAATGGCTGTCTATGCTTCAGGTTAACATGGTGGACTTTCCACTGAAGTGCCTCCTGGTTGAGGTCACAGGACATATGGCAATAGGACTAGAGCCCAGTTTGCCTCCTGCTCTCCTGCCTTAACTTCTCATCCTTCCTGTCAAGGGGGCCCATTACTGCTGTTCCTCCTCCAGGAAGCCTTCCAGGACTGCACACCCCAACTCTTCATGCTGATAGCTGTTCAGCCTCAAGGAGCATCCCTATCCTGTGATTCCTCTGTGACCTCTGTCCCCTCTGCCTGAAAGGGCAGGACCAGAGCATTTCTTTCTGAATCTCCTAGAGAGGCCAACACAATGGGGCAGACAATTTACTTCCGTGTAAGTATGTCAAGGAAGCCTGGCGTCCCAGCTTCTGATCTCCAGGGACAGGAGAGCTCCAATATGGTTTCAGATTACCACACCATGCATTGGAGGGGCAAGTACATATGTGTGTGTGTGCATGCCCCCACCCTATCCGCCTCTGACAACAGTTTTGTGAAGGAAGACTTAACTCCCATTTAGTGGAGGGGGTCTGGGGTAAAAGGTGGTGAGAATGTGAAAGTCATGCAAATGAGGAAAGAGCAGATCATGGCTCTGGTCTGGCTAGTGGAAGACAAAGTACCCGTACCGGGGGCAGCATCAAGGGATGAAGGGGAGGCGTGTGCAAAGGGGAGATGTCCAAGTCTAAGGCCAGAGCATGGAGGCTTGTGTCACTTTGGCGGTCACAGATATGGGGGACATTGTCCCAAGGTATGGCTGGGGACTAAGGGAGGCCCTGGTGACCCAATGGCATGCTCCCAGCCCTACCCACCCTCCCCACTCACACAGCAGCAGGCGGTGACAGTGATCTGGATGGTGTTGCGGCCGGGCTGGCACACATGCTTGAGGTGCAAGGGCTTGTGGGAGGTCTTGTTGTCGCCTCGCTCAATGGTGAGGGGTGTAGCATTGACGCTGACCTGCACTGAGGCTGGCCAGTTGGTATTCATCTGCCGGTCCTCATGGTGGTAGCATTTGAATTGCAGCTCCAGATCAGATCTGGGGAAGAGGCAGGCAGCCACCATCATCTCTAAGTCCCTGGGGATCCCTCTCCCCTGGCCACAGCCCTTCCCTCCTTCACCTGGAGATTCCACCTTCCCACATTTAATTCAAGGCCGTCCTAACATCCCAAGCATCCTGTACTACTCTAGCCAGACCCACAGCCCTGGCTACCATCTCCCTGCCCTGCCTAAGGGATATTCCTCTGCTCTAGGGCAGAGCCAGAAGGACAAAAGGACAGATGCTATTTGACAAGACCAGCTGTGAGGCCAACTGTGGCCCCCTCCAGATGGTGGCAGGAGCAGCCATTCCAGGTCAGGGGCATGGGTAAGGAGCATCTCTGGCCTACTTCTGCCAATGTGCCCAAGTCTCAGGCCTCCTACCTGAGCATCTCAGTTACTGTGTCCTGAATGCTGACCCAGCTCTGCCTGTCAAAGTCTATTGAGTGTCTGAAGTTATATACCCTGGACAGAGGCTCACCTTCAGTCCTGAAGATGCTCACTGGGCAGGTGGTGGGTGGTGGTGTCTATGCCAAGCCTGAGGTGAGCCTTGGCTAACAATCAAGGACCCAGGAGGGACAGGACATACCACAGATTGGTTTTGCCATGTAGGAGGCCCTGACTCAAGTCTCAGCTCCAATCCTCGCTAACCATGAGAACTCACACCCATTAATATACTTCTCCAGTCTCAGTTTCCTCTTCAGTCTGACGGAAAAGTATTGCCTCCTCCAAGATCTTAGAGTCAGGCACACTGAGCCCAGCCCCGGAGGGGACCTCCATGCCCTGCACCTGAGCACAACCCAGTGAGTGGGCAGCATTTTGGCAGTGGCCACCTGCAATCGAGAGTTTGCTGAACCTACCCACCCCGCAACTCTCCTCATCAGCTTCTCTCTGCACTGGCAGCTCTGGCCACAGGAACTACAAGCTTGGCTTAACTGTCTTCCCTTTTGCTAACTCAGGGCCTTGCTGGGCCACCTTCCCCCAAGCCTTTAGGGCTCTGCTAGGCCCCTCATCATTTGGAAAGTCCCTCCAACACACAGGACTAGGGTAATAGCTCTTCTTAGAAGCCTTTAGTGCTTGGTCCCTCCCGTGTCTGGGCTCCCTGTGACATCCCCAGGGCCTTACACAGGCAGGCCCTGTGAGATGTTGAACGTGTGACAGTGACAGGAAGCTGCTGCCAGCACCTGTACAAGGTCCACTCCTAAGCCCAGGGTAGGTAGTCGTGGTACAGGTCCCCTCACCTCCACATCAGTGTCTGGTGAACCGTGGGCCGCAGGTGGAACACGTGGTTGCTGACGGCCAGGTTGTGCTCCAAGCGGAAGGGCTCCAGCACCACACCATCCCGTACTGGGAATGTGAGTCGTAGCTCGTCGTTGTGGTTGGCTAGGCAAGGACAGGAACTCGATGAGTGGCAAGTCCCCCAGTCTTACAGGTGATACCAACAAGGGCTGCATGCTCAAAGCACAGACGTGGGCCAAGAGCCATGGAAACTGTGCTGTGGCTTCCTCAACTCATCCCACCATGCAGTCCCTCTTCTCCCACTGGTCTTCCTGCACCTGAAGTCCCAGGATCTGGGGGAGGACGCCTGAGTGCAGCCCAGCCCCAATTCCAAATGTCTCTGGGAGAGGGGCACCTTGCTTTCAGCTCTCCTGTCTGCCTAACTCCCACAGCCCAGATAGCCCAGCTTCTAAGCTCTCTGGTTCTGCCCACCGATGTTCCCCCAACAGAGCTGACAGAAGATGAATGAGGAGTGTGGGGTCCTCACCTGGGGGTGGCGGCAGGGCACTCATATTTGGCTTGATGTCAGGTGGGAAAGGTGGCTTGACATCTTGGCTGGGGGACAGGTAGGGGGGGATGCTGCTCCCGGGAGTCATGGGGGGCGTGGGGTTCCCTGGAACAGGCGAGTGGGGGTAATTTGCCACAGGAACTGGCCTGGGAGGCTGGAGGAAAGAGAAACCAGAAATAGGTTATGGCTTCCAGGTAACACATTACCATTGAGGACTTACTCTATGTGCTCTAGCATCCTACCTAGGTAGTGCTACTCTCCCCAAAAGTAGAGAGTCTCTCCAGAGGACCTCCTCTATTCTGCAACACTGCTTCTCTCGGAAGGCAGGAGGGACTGGGAAGGACCCCATCTCTTATTGGAGTCCACTATGCTGAGCCCTTCAGGGTCAGGTGGACATGAGCTCTCATACTCACTGACAAAGGGGACACCCAGGCTCAGTGTGCTAAGGACTTGTCTAAACCATATTGTGAGTAAAGGGGAGCTGGGAATCACCCAAATGGCCTCCCCATATTGTGACTCTAGTCCATAGCTGCTGTCCCTCCCCAGGGGAAAAAGTCCAGTCTCTAGGACCCTTTCTTTTCTCTGTCTGCGTCTTGCTTCCTGTTGGGCCCAAACTTGTCTTTGGTCACCCTGGGCATCTCTGTGTCTCAGCAGACGGCCAGGAAGTATTACCTTCCACCTGTGAACCTCTGCAAACATGCAGAGATGCTGGAGCAGGGTTCCAAGGGAGGATCCTTCAAGTCTGCTGACAACTGTTGGATTTTCTTTTTTAAATATTTTATTCACTATTTTTGTGTGTATGGGTATATTGCCTGCATGTATTTAAGTGCACCTGTGGAGGTCAGAAGAGGGTGTTGGACTCCCCTAGAACTGGAGTTAAGCCATTGTGTGGGTCCTGGGAATCAAACCCAGGTCCTCGGCAAGAGCAGTCAGTGCTCTTAACCGCTGAGCCATCTCTTCAGGCCCTGGTTTGACTTTCAAGACTAACACGGCACTCACCCTGCTGACAGTTCCTTGGCTGTAGCTGCCGTAGCTGCTTCCCGAAAATGTGTTGCTCTGTCCGTTAAACTGTTCTGGCTGTTGAAATTAGACAGGCAGTGCGATCAGCAGGACAGAAGAGCCCCAAGGTCTGACTCTTTAAGACAAGAGTGTGTAGGGGAGGAGGGGTCTCCAGGGTTAGCTTGGGGAACAGAGGGGACCAACCAGACTGTTCCTTGGGGATGGCATTTGCCTCTTTGTCCATAGCTATAACCTGAGTAAGAGACTTTCCATCACAGCAACATGCAGTGTGGTGAAGTTGGAGCAAAGATGGCAAACCCATATGGCCATTTGGCACAGGACTTCCTTCATTCCTTCCCTTTGTGTAGCAAAGGAAAAGGCTACATCAAGATCCTGTCACAGTGGTGTCTCAAAAGTGAAAAACGAGAGAGAAACACCCAACTGAGGGAGAAGGGCAACCTAGGAAAGTCACTTCCATGGACCACCAGGCAGCCGTTAAGTGACAAAAACAGGGACACTGTGTCAATAAGCAACATGCATACAACAAACTCGGGAGGGAAAAACACAGATTCAAGATGACAGCTCTAGCAGCAGTTTTCTAATGACCTGGTGTTCATGTGCACATAGATGGTTTAGAATAAAATGTGGGTCTATTCAGGGTGTATGCTTTGTCTTTCAGAATGGCGATTCCTGTGCTGTCACTACCTTGTGTGCAGCAAATAAGGGTAAGGAAAGCCATCTGAGCCCATGAGACTAGGATTCTGAGAGCCTAGCACATGGGGAAAGCCAGGACTGTCCCCCTGCCTCTTGGCATCTTCAGGGAATATATATAGGGTCAGAATGCTGCAAATGAGGTTTACAGATAAGAGTGGTAAGGGAGAGAGGGCCTGGGGTGCCCCGAGAGTGGGACTTACCTTGTAATACTGCCCCATGTTGACCGTGGGGGGTGGATACTGCCCAGTGCTGGGCTGGCTTGGCATCCTTTGCCCGGGATAGTTGGGAGAAGTGAGTGGCCTTGGGGGGTTGGGGGTGGGGTACTGGCCTGGCTGGGTGGGGAACTGGCTGTTTGGTCCATATTGCTGGTTTCCATAGTTCGGCTGTGGGGACAAAGGACAGGGGCAGATCATCAGTACTATGTAGTTAAGTAGCTGCCTCACTTAAACACAGAATGCTGGGTCTGGGACCAGTTCCTCTCCTTGGCCTTGCTGTCTCCTGCCCATAAAATGCTCTCCACTTGTCACAAGGAGACACTGAGCCAGAAGATGCTGGAAGCCTCTGTTTGCTCTGCCATCTACGGATATGGTAATCTGGCTGGCCAGCTCATAGACCACCTCTCCATGACGCTCTCCTTCCAGAAGCCTTCAGGACTCCAGGGACGATCAGAGTTTCTCAGCTGTGTCTCAGAGGGACGCAATTCTAAAGCCCTCCTTTGTGTCTCCTAGTGTTTGCTTCAGGGCTGTGTTCCCCACTGTGCACCCCAATGTGCCAGGGAGACACAAGGCCACAGGCTCATCTGGGCAGGACTGTCCCTATATCCCACACTGAGGAAAACACCCACCCAGTGTTCCATTCCCAGCAGTGTCAGCCTGTCATTTCTGCAGCTGTGGGAGTGAGGGGGCAAGATAAGTACTCCTGGGGAGGTGATTCAGAGAGGAGACAGTGCCACCGCCAGCCACCCTGCCTGTTTGGAATAGTGGGTGGCCCAAGGCTACCTGTAACCCAGGCACCAGGAACATGCAGTCCTGTGGAAGCAGTGCTTTCTGTCTGTGGACACTGTCTAAGGGCCTCTCATTCTCCAGGTTCGAGTTTAGCTGGTGACGGCACTCCAGTTCTGGCAGTAATATCGGAATGGCCAGTGCTTGGCAACTTTCCATGACTTCCACTGTGGGGTACACTGGCTGCTCTGGGCAACCATAAGCTCCCACTGCAGGTGTGAAGTAGCTGGTGCCTGCCTGTATACCAGTCATCAGAGGAGTGTTGTAGGGAACCAGGAAACCATTAAGGTTCCAACTGTTCCAATACAGGATGAGCATGCCTCAGTGAGGTGGAGGCCAGAGTTCTTAGGCAGGAGCCACCCAGCCTGGCAACCTGGATCAGACATTTTGCATGTGGGAAGCAGCAATACTTTGTGGAGAATGCTCTTTTAGAAAGAGCAGACAGCTCAGCCTCAGTGCATGGCTGATACTCTCAGCAGGCAATTCAGCCGTGGCCTCATCTCAGGTCACCCCCATTGTTGCTGGCAGCCTGAGGCTCAGCCTGGCTCAGACACGCATCCCCAGCACAGCCAATGGGATACCACAAGGTTGAGGGCAGAGGGGGCTAAGATGGCCCAGAAACTATGCAGGGCTATGCTGTAGGAGTGAAGCCAACAGCTTAAGTTCCCTAGTCAAAGATAGTCGGGGCTGGGAGGGCCTTTAAAATCCCTTTCCCTGAACTGCTGTCCACTAGGTAGAGACTTAGGGCTTGAATTAGCCTCCTGGATATGTGGGGCTCACCTAGCCCCTATTCTTAAACCTCAGGCTCAGAACACCTACATAGCTATCATATCAGCCTATGGGAATGCAAATTGAGGGGACTTGTGGGGACATCAAGGAACTTATATTCTGTGGGATGGGAACTCACTGCAGCCAAAGCTGAAGGCCAGTTTGGACCAGAAGGATATGGTCTGAGAAGGAGTGGACAGTTGGGGCCTCATGGTCAGGGAAGGGTCTCATGGAATGTGCTATCAAGACAGACTTCAAAGGGTGGGGTATGGGCATCTGTTGAGCCAGTCTTCTGGTCCCAATGCTACACAGTTATTTTCTGAGTGTCACTGAGGCCTGGTGACAGCCCTTCTTGCCCTGATCTTATACTAAGTTTGGGATAGTCTGCTGCGATGGTTTTCTTGTGGGTTTTATTCTCCCAACTCCTCTGCTGGGCTGCCCGGGAGGAGGAACTAGTCCCAATCAAGTGACCGACCATGATGGAGATGAACCCCAGGGCCATGCTGCCTGCCATCTGATGGCATTCCTTTTGCAGCCTTTACTAGAGGGTATGGTAGCAGCCCCTTCCCGACTCTCGGGAAGCTAGGGAACCCCTCAAATGGGAGTGGAGTGCCCTAACCAAAGTCACCCAACTTAGTACCTGAGCCTGGACAGGAGAGAACAGTCATTGTGGTTCCCGTTCCTACACATGCCTACTGAGCAGTCCTTGTCTCCAGGCAGCCTAGAGCCAGGGTGGATTGCCACTATCATTGATGAAAAAGCTCAGGTGGTATGACTTGCTTAGGGTCGGAACAGAGATGGCATAGTCAGGTCTTAACCCCAGGAGCTGAGGCTCTAAGGCCCAGCCTTTGGGTCCAAGTTGACTTGTATCCAACCTATGTCCTTTTCCAAGGCTCTGTCCATCATCCCTGTGTCAAGCCCCTTCCTTTCCCAGCCCCTATCCGCTGTCACACTTACCTCTCCTGGGTATGGCCTCTTTATGCTTTGAATAGGAAGGGACTGGGGCCGGGGGCCTGGGTAGGTCTGCTGGGGCATCCTTTGCCCGTGTGTGCCAAAGGGGCTGATGCCGGGTGGCCGGGGCTGGTTCATGCCCATGGGAGGGCCGCTCATCCCCGAGGGTGTCATGCCAGCTGCCATGCTGGCGGGGTTCATGCTGCCCCCCATGGAGGCAGGCCCCCGAGGCCCGGGCTGGTTCATGAATTGGCTGTTATACGCCTGGGTGGGACCCATCTGGAAAGAGGAACAGACCTTCAACGGGAGAAGAAAAAAAAAAGAATAAAATGCCACATGCATTGAAAGTGCAGGGAGGGATGGTTAGGGGGCTAAGGGAAGGGGGCACTTTCCCATGTGGCTGCAGCTAGGGACTAGGAGGTCCCAAAGGACCCAGTCCTCCAGGGCTCACTGCTGCCCTCTGCAAGCCATATGGGAAAATGCAGCTTGCGGAGGGGTTTGGGCTGGGTCGGGGAGCAGTCACTCCAATGCACAGGCAGCATTTCCAAGGAGGCAGGCAGGGGACAAGGAAGAGGGTGGAGATGGGAGGGTACAGGGAGGTCACAGGAAAGGGAGGCGGATGAGGATGGAGGCCGAAGCCCTTTCCTGAAAGCCCTGGCCTTGCCCTTGTCCCTGGCCAATGGAGACACACCCTCCATTTACTAAGTATGACACAGCCCAGCTCTATTTCTGCTTGTCTGCCCTGTACCCTACCTACATGCTTCCATCCTGCATGGTTGTAGGGTTCCCCTCCTCATACCCTACCCCAGTCTTCAGTCTTCTGAAGGTCAGGGGAGCAATGCTGGGGCCTGGGCAGAACCCACAGTATTGATAACTGGACAGCACTGGCTTCAGAGGCGATTGGGGACAGGCCAGTAACAAAGCCATTTTAGGCACCGAGCCCATTCCTCAGTAGGTAATAAACTCAGAGAGCAAAAGGGCACATCTTCCTCCATATGTACACAGTCACCAACTATGTACCCAAATACCCCTGCTGTACCCACCCACTAACACACACCTTTCCAGGGGCTGCTAAGCAAACCCAGGGCACCCTGACATCACTGGCTTCCCTTGCTCACATGGCCCACAAACACCCACACTCAACTGATTTTTCCAGCCTGGGTGAGGCCAGACCAGGAAATGGGAACCCTTACCGGTCCATACTGGTTTATATCCTTGTTCTGCGTCTCTTGCAAGGCTGCCACTGTAGCTGTGGCTGTGGCCGTGGCCGTGGCAGCTGCTGCTGCTACTGCAGCTGCTGCAGCAGCAGCTGCTGGCTGAGTGAAATCAGCAGGAGGCCGGGTATGTGGAGGGATGCCCATGCCTGCAGGGGCACTAGGACCCCCAGGGTAACTGCAGGAGAGAAAGGGGGAAGAGTTAGAGATGGCCTGAATAAAAAAACCAAGCCTCGACATGCCAGGGCTGGGAGGAAGGGCACAGACTGTACCCATGCCCTCCCTGCACCCGGCATGTGGATGTGAGAGCCCCCAGAGGCAAAGCCCACAGGGGACCAGGGACTCCTGAGGTTGGCAGCCATTCCTGCCACTCAGTGATGACTAGGTCACTACTTCCTGGAGCCTTGGCTGGGATCACAAAGCACCATAGCTTCTCTGTTTTCCCTTGGCCACCAGGTCAGCCTATCTTCTAGAAGACACAGACCTATGAGAACTGCACAACACTGTGTGGCAGTGCTGTGGATACAACTTCAGGGGTGACAGATACCTGTATTTAATTACCAGGTCAGAAAACTAGGGACTCCGTTAGTCCCTGGAGCTGGCTGGACTGAGGTCAAAGTGGCTTAGACAGAGAAGGCTGGCTTGCTCTGCCTCAAATCTGGATCTCCTCCATGGCCCTCTCTGCCTCCTGAACCTGGGGACTTTTAGTCTCTGGTTCACCCTTTTTCTACAGGTCAGTGGGGCAGAGGGCTTGCCTAACAAGCTTTGGTCAAGTGGAAAGCCCACTGTTATTGCTCGTCAGCTCTCCTGGAAGCTCAGTGTCTTCCAATTCATAAAGATACACAGCAAAGAAGGAAGTGAGAACACAGTCTTTCTACCCCTGTGGGGCTGAGGGACAGCCTTGAGCACTGATGGCCAGCTTGGGATAGGACATGTGTCAGGGCTGTCCCCGCACCCTAGACCAGGCAACACAGAGCTGGAATTCAAGCCAGATCTTCCTATCTGAATGGCGGCAGGAAGGTAGGGCCAACATGCCACTCTAGGAGGCTACCACTCCAGGCTGGTCCCTCACCTGGCCCCGAAGCCCCCGCTGCCGGGGTAGCTGGGTCGGCCATACATGTTGGGCTGGATGTATGGCTGTGCAGGGCCAGCCTTGGTGGAGAACTGCTGCTGCTGTCCTGCAAACTGCGGAGAGCTGAGGCCGGGGTTGCTGGTACTCATACCCGACGCCATGGGGTTACCGCCTGGATTCATAGGGTTGCTGGCATTGGCCATAGGATTCCCAAGGACCTGTGAGCAGAGACAGTGGTTGTCACCCAGGTTGGCTCCTGAGGTTGTGGGGACAAAGAGGGAGCTATGAAGAGGGTGGAAACAAGGCAGAAAGTGAACAAAGGGGAACATGCGGTGGCTTGAGTAGTCCCTAGAATGGGTAAGAGGTGAGAAGGGGGGCGAGAAGGGGGGCAAGAAGAGGGGCGAGAAGGGGGGGTGAGAAGGGGGGCAAGAAGGGGGTGAGGCTAAGGTATGATCAGGGCTCAGAGGCCAGCTCCTGTCCCAAGGCTGTGGAGAGGGATATGTGGCAGGTGGAAAGTACTGGTTTACTTGGCTTCTGCCCTCAATGGGGCTTAGGTGCCCAGAGGGATGGACACAAGGAAGTCCTAGACTATTGCTCTAGTGAGCAGAGGATCTTGGCCCAAAGGCCATCTGTGGTGGGAGACCCCAGAGAAGCACAATGGCTCCGTACAGGGTGGCCATCAGCCCTGGGCCTTCTGTGTGGGCTGGCCATGGTCCAGCAGTGTGAGAGCATCTGTTGGGACAAAGGAGATGAGGAGAGAAGAAAGAAGAAACAAGACTGGAGGTAGGCTTGACAAGGGAGACAGCTGGAGCTTGTAAGCTTAAGGCATATTTTACTGAATGTTAACAACTTAGCGAAATCTAACCCAGGCCATCCAGGGTCAAAGATTCCTAGCTCGAGACCCAGAGGTCAATAATGCATAGGAAGTTCTCCTGTTTATCCAACCAGAGCAAACATGGTCTAGGAAGAGCATTTGTGGCCTGTCAAGATGATAACCACCCTCTCATGCCAGAAGGTCCAAGGATGGGGACAGTCCTCAGGGACACAGTTGTGGCCCTCCTGGGGCAGATATATACCCTTCCTGGAGTGGAGATGCGTGTCCAGTTGGGTATGCCCTGAAACTGGTTTTCAGTCAGTGAGGAGGGCTGACATGGCATGGTTACTGAGAGTGTCTGGGGATAAAGGACATTTGTGCCTGGAAGGGGCTGTGGCTAGGCAGGGTAGGACAGACTCTTACCTGGCTCTGGGATGTGTTGGTCACTCCCCACACCGTGGTGACCACGGAGAGGGAGCCGGGAGGCTGGTTGGTGTTCTGCTGCCAAGGGACAGAGTCATAGGGAAATGACCCATCACTGCAGAGAGAGAGGAGGTCTTTAGAGTTGGGGCAGGCTCAAGTGGCAGTGTCTTCACCCCACCATCTTAGCTGACCCATGTCCCAGTCAGCTCTGGGATCCCAGGCTTGTCACAACACCCAATGCAGAAAGGGTACACTTTTTGTGGGAATAGGCCATGCAGAAGTGACCCTCCCCCATCACTGCAGGGTCATCCCAGTGCGTGGCTGCTTCAATGGGGCCCGAAGTCCAGCAGCTGTGCAGTGAAGGAGGCAGCGTGACCCCAGGCTCATTCAAAGCCTCCTCTTCAAGTAAGCTCTGACTCCATGTGGCCCTTTACCAATAGCCAGGGCCTTGGCATTGCCTCCCCTGGGGTCAGTCTTGGGCAGAGTCTTGCTTTCTTCCCTCCCATCCTCTCATGGCAAACTGGCTACTGAGTTCTACTGACCTGGCGTTTGGATGGCAAGCGTTCTTAGGTCACACTGTCGTCCCTCCTCTGGGCTCAGCAGAAGGCAAGCAAAGCCTGCCTGAATGCTCCCTTTCCACTCCTGCCCCACTTCCTACACACATCCCTGCCTGAGCTCCTCCTTCACCCATGACCCCCCAGGGTCATCAGAGTCCTTTAGTAGCATCCAGTATAAGTGGCCAAAGTCCAAATGCACTCTAGAATGACTTACCCTGCTGGCTCATCCCTCAGGCCATACTCCACCTCCTCACCCTAGCCCTGAGGTGCCTGACGTGGGGAACTCTTTCCAAGGAACCCACACACATCAGAAGCAAGGACTCCACCTCCTCCATTCCAGCCGCAGGACTGCACCTTGTACTCAGTGAGGCCTTTAGCCAACCTGGGTGGTGTGGGAGGATAGGGAGGGGCCCAAAGGCCTTGGAGAAGGGATGGGCAAGTCACAGCATGAATAAAGACTTGTCCCACTGTAGTTCTCCTGCACCCCTTCAGTGAAGGTCATACAATGCCATAACTGGGCCTCAGGAAGAACAGCAGAGCACCCCATCTATGAAGCTGGCTGGAGCAATGCAGCATGTATATGTGCCCACAGTTGTGTGTGGGCACGAGTGTGTGCTGTGTGGGGAATGGGCCTGGAACAGGGTGGGTGGTAGGAAAGAACCTCTGTGCCTTTCTTGTAAGAGTCAGGAAACATCATCTTGCTCACACTGGGAAAACTGAACAGTGTACCCAAGGCCACCAGTTCTGGAGGCCCACCTGGGTGAGGTGCTTGGGGTATGGACTCTGGCTGAGACTGAGTGGGCGGCCAAGAGCTCAGCCTAGCAAGGACCTCGGAAGGAGTATGTTGAGAGGGAGGCAGAGGCCTGTGAATTAGGAGGGTAGTGGGGCTGGGGTGGCTGGTCTTGTGCAGTGTTGTCTGGTCACATCCTTGGCAGAGCTAGCTGAGTAGAGTGGGCTCTTGTGGCAGTAATCAGCCACGAGGGCTGGCCTAGGTCATCATCCAATGACGCTGTCCTTCCTTCCCCTGCTCTGTGCTCACTTCCTTCCCATTTCTTCTGGAAGTCATCTCTATGGAGAGCCTGCCCCACCCCTCCCTATATAAAAAGGACCCTGCCCTGGCTTTTTATGTTTTTGCAACAAGCCACCACTATCATATTAACTATTATCTGTCCAGTCTCGACTTCAGAACTGAAAGTGAGCTAAACCCAGCAGGTTTGTGAAGCAGAGTGAAACAAAGGTCAATGGACAAAAAAGCCAGTGAGGCCAGAGCATAGAGAAGCATTATAAAGGGAAACCGATATGATCTAGGCCCAAGCAGCCCAGTTCTGGGGCCCTGGTTCTCATCCTCCCTGGGGGTCACAGAGTAACGCCACCTCAAGCTGTTCTGGGCCCTGATGCCCAGCTATGGCCCTTAACCTGCCTTGAACCCTGCCCTCACTAGCCCCGGGCCCTTGGGACAGGTTTCTGCAATCTCCTCATTTGTGAAAAGCACATGAGAACATGTCTTCATATGTTCTCCAGAGGTACAAGTAGGTCTGATGCCCAGCCAGCATGAGGGAGCAACACAGTGACTGGCTGGGGAGGTAGCTCCTTAGGAGACTGTGCTTAGCAAGCACGAAGCCTGGGGTTCAATCTCCAGTGCATAAAGTGACGGTGAACATCTATAATCAGCCTATAATCCCAGAAGATGGAGTCAGGAGAATCAGAGGTTGAAGGTCATGCTTGGTTACACAGGAAGTTTGAGGCTAGCCTGAGCGGAATGAGATCCTGTCTCAAAATACAAAAAACAAAACAAAACAAAACAAACCACCCCAAAGCAAACATACAAACCTAGTGGCTCACAAATTGTTTTCTAAACACACCTTCCACTGTGTACTGTGCATCTGTATCATGGGGCTCAGTCAAGTAAGTAAGTGTGAACACAGGCCTCAGGGTCTAAGCAGGACATGAACAGAGTTTACAAAGAGGCATCCTCAGCTGGGAAGTGACATAGATTCATTATTCCTGGTGTTCCAGGGGAAAGATTGGTGCTAGGATGGGGGAGAGGAGGTCGACCAGGCTGGTCAGACATGACTGAGGGCTAGAAGCCAACGGAAAGAGACTGAGCCCAGCAGCACAGGTGGCCAAGTGGGGACAGAGTGTTAACAGGTCAGAAGAAGTAGCTTTATTCTCCCAGGAAAGGGCTGAGCCCCAGGGGATCCAGGGTTTGTACAGAGGGCCTGACTAGGTAGGACACTCCATAAGTCATGATTTCACAAAACAAAGATCTCCTCTCCTGGCCACCCACTGACCTGCAGGATTCTTGTCCTGTGCTTAAGTGACCTAACAAAACAGATGTTTAAGTCTGTTATCCTCAGGACTGCCTCACAAGTTCCCGGCCACATTTCAGGCCATGGTTGGGTTCATGGAGATTTGACTCAGTTGTAACATGGCAAATGGAACTATGCTCAGCTGCATGGGTGGGTCTTGTGGGGAGGAACCAGCTTCTTCCTGTTTTACCCACTCTACCCTCAACCTAGTGAGAAACAAAGTTAACTGACCTTCCCAAAGTGGGACTCCACTGCCTGGATGGCATGTTCACTGTCTCAGTGCCAAGGTGTGCATGTACCCAGTGGATGCTGAGCATACACTGGGGAAGCGAATGGAGGATGGCCACAGGCCCCACAGCTCCTCTCACACCTGCTGCAGCAGAAGTGGCGGCCACCAGAATGCTGTGACTAGCTTTCTAAAGGCGTGCGCCTCTGCAGGTCCCCACCTTAGTGAGCCTGTCACACACTGTCTCTGCTGGACTCTCACCCCTGTGCTCCAAGATCAAAGACTAGGCAGATTCTCAAGTCACCAGGGAACAGGGTTGGCTGGGGTAGGAGAGGATCAGGTGACAAAAAGGTCTAGGGGACTCTGGAAGGATGTCCCAAGACCTTCTTCCTCCTGACCAGCAGCTTAATCTGTAATATGTACAGTCCAGGTTGGTGCCTGGTATTTTGGGGTCACCCATCAAGAACCGCTTCCCTTGATCCACATGGGTGCCCTGCAGAGGGGCGGGGTCAGAGTCCTCAAAGATTTAAGAACCCCTCTTAGTCAATTCTGCCCAACTAAGAACATTCCCATCATGTCACAAACTGCCCCCAGACCAGTCCTGCCCTTGCAAAACTAACTGCCTTACAATTCTGTCCTACCAGAGGCGCAGGGCTGTGGGCCATGTGGAAGCTCAGCAGCCTGTGCCCATCAAGTGTCTCTTAATTCTGGTACGGCATGTCCATCTGCAGACTAGGTAGCTCTATCCCCTTTGCCATGCATTTTGTCCTTTTCAGGTTCCTCCCAGACCTTCCAGGAAGCCCTGGAGCACTGGCTTGAACTCTGCTGGCCCCTTGGTCTCTGGAGGCTTGTGTGAGAATTCTTGTCTTAGGTTTTACCTCCTCAGGCCTGGTGTGATGGCCACACCTACCCACAGGGTACAGGATGCTTTTGCTGAACAAAGGCAAAGAATCTGGAAGAGGCTGTGACCCAGGGGACCCTGGGAACACACTCCATGTTCATTCTCAAAGCTTTGTTGATTGCCTGTAGTAAGCCTGTGGCCACAGCATCGGGCCTAGAGGAAGGGAGGGGGGGTGTCCCTACTCTCCAGGGAGGGGACCAGAAGTGAAATGACAAACCTGTTGTACATTCTCTATGTCTCAGTGTCCTTATGTGTGAAGGAGTGCTAACAGACAATACCCAAAGGCTATCCTGAAGATGCTACCTAAGTGTCTATTAGGTATGGGCACAAAGGCACCCTCAAACTGCTGGCTACAGTCACCATCAGTGTCAAGGTTTGCTGAAGGGCTTCTGGAAGTAAGGACTCGTCCCCTCCTCCCCTCCTCTCTGTGAAGATGGCATCTCTAAGCAGCTGAGGTTCTTAGGGCAGCAGAGTCAGTCAAAGCCATGGCTGTGCCAGGCATGGTCTCAGGGATCCAGGACCCAGAGAGGCAATGGCTGCCTGTGTGGGATGGTAGTGATACAGGGTTCAGGCACTGAGGGTGCCCTGCAGGTCCCCAAGAAGGGAAGGAACATCCTATTGGTGCTTTTGAGACTTGCTTTGGGGAAATCACCTACCATAGGGACATGTGAAGCTGGGTCAAAAAAAAAAAAAAAGCAAAAGCTAGTTACTGCCCAAGAGAAAACACTTTGCATACCCAATTGCCTACATTAGCCTGGACTGGGTCTGCTGGCAGATTCAGGGCCCTGCATATTTGGTGTTAGTATGGAAGAGAGAGGGACACATTATAGGAGAGGAGTCACTTATATGGGCTCCAAGGTCAGATTCTCTGAACTCCTACCCTTCCTTCAAAGCCCAGTCTGCATCTTCCTTTGGTGACTTTCCTAAACAGAACCAAGGACATTTCCTTTGTTTCCTCTATGATGCTTGCATGTATTTTATAGAGCTCTTCATGTCAGGTCATAGAAAATGGTTTACACTTCTTTGTACCAGCTCCACAGGTACTGACAGATGCTTGCTGCATGTGAGAAAATGAGTTAGGCCTGTGATGAGGGGCTCCTGGCTCCCTTTGGCAACATCCCC